TATGTATTTCTCAGCTAAGTTGGGTCCAAAGAAAGCCAGCAGCCCCTTAAACTCTGTCAAACTCCACACCAGTGTAACTTGGTGCCATGTTTGTTCAGCTCTAGAAGATGTGCAGGGGTGTTCTAGATGTTCACCCAAGACTAGGAAGCCATCCCCCCCCGCTGCCACCAAATACCACGGACCGCCAGGCACTCTGACCGGGTACCTCCATCAATCACTGCTTCCTAGTACTTGTGAGTACCATAAGCACTGCACTGGAACACCATAACCACAGTAAACTCCACAATCTGCCACAGCTTGGTTGGAGTCTCACTGTCCTCCACCCACCCTGGACCCAAGACCAAGATCCAGCTTGAGTGGATAGACCTCTCCTAGTCCAGAAAGCGAAGCAGGCTGCTCTTATAAGAGCAACTGTTGTGATCCAAGCAATCCCCAGAGTGTGAATATAGCTCTCCAATCCCCCAAACATGAGCCTAAACTTCATGGAGGGTAAAATGAATCTGTTTAATGTTAGCCACAACTGGCATTTTATGACCGTGCCCATGAAAGGGGCACTCCCCCCGCCCCCCGGACCTGCGCATAAACCACAGTAGAAATAAATATACAATCACATTGGCTCTCTCGTCCAGGACTCTCCCATACAATATCAGATAATCCCTCCTCTGTGATAAAGAGCAAGAAAGGATGAGGGGATGGGTCTGCGCCGGTGTGTACACTGAGTATTAAGTCCGATAGGATGTATATTATCGTGTACAAAGTTCTACTTTTGGTGGTATCCAGAAGATGTCGGTGTCGTGGAGAGTAGTCCAAATATGTGCAAAAATAGGAAAGATCTTACTTACAATTTACAGAGCTTAATCCAGCTCTGGTGTGGATAGCTTGCAGCGGTATTATCCCCGCTTATAGGATATACGGCAGGTGTCCTCACTTCCTCCCAGCTTGTGATGTAATCACAGGGGGCCCGGTCGCGCTGTTAAAGTGGATAACATTGATAAAGCCCTATATTGGCGAAACGCGTTTGGATATTTTTACTGTTTTATATACTGTTAATAAAAGATTTTGGTCATTTTTACGTTTTAACCATCATCTTTTCTATTACCTGGCTATTTTATAAACGTTTTAAATACATTTTATACTATAGGGAGTGCAGAATTATTAGGCAAGTTGTATTTTTGAGGATTAATTTTATTATTGAACAACAACCATGTTCTCAATGAACCTAAAAAACTCATTAATATCAAAGCTGAATATTTTTGGAAGTAGTTTTAGTTTGTTTTTAGTTATAGCTATGTTAGGGGGATATCTGTGTGTGCAGGTGACTATTACTGTGCATAATTATTAGGCAACTTAACAAAAAACAAATATATACCCATTTCAATTATTTATTATTACCAGTGAAACCAATATAACATCTCAACATTCACAAATATACATTTCTGACATTCAAAAACAAAACAAAAACAAATCAGTGACCAATATAGCCACCTTTCTTTGCAAGGACACTCAAAAGCCTGCCATCCATGGATTCTGTCAGTGTTTTGATCTGTTCACCATCAACATTGCGTGCAGCAGCAACCACAGCCTCCCAGACACTGTTCAGAGAGGTGTACTGTTTTCCCTCCTTGTAAATCTCACATTTGATGATGGACCACAGGTTCTCAATGGGGTTCAGATCAGGTGAACAAGGAGGCCATGTCATTAGATTTTCTTCTTTTATACCCTTTCTTGCCAGCCACGCTGTGGAGTACTTGGACGTGTGTGATGGAGCATTGTCCTGCATGAAAATCATGTTTTTCTTGAAGGATGCAGACTTCTTCCTGTACCACTGCTTGAAGAAGGTGTCTTCCAGGAACTGGCAGTAGGACTGGGAGTTGAGCTTGACTCCATCCTCAACCCGAAAAGGCCCCACAAGCTCATCTTTGATGATACCAGCCCAAACCAGTACTCCACCTCCACCTTGCTGGCGTCTGAGTCGGACTGGAGCTCTCTGCCCTTTACCAATCCAGCCACGGGCCCATCCATCTGGCCCATCAAGACTCACTCTCATTTCATCAGTCCATAAAACCTTAGAAAAATCAGTCTTGAGATATTTCTTGGCCCAGTCTTGACGTTTCAGCTTGTGTGTCTTGTTCAGTGGTGGTCGTCTTTCAGCCTTTCTTACCTTGGCCATGTCTCTGAGTATTGCACACCTTGTGCTTTTGGGCACTCCAGTGATGTTGCAGCTCTGAAATATGGCCAAACTGGTGGCAAGTGGCATCGTGGCAGCTGCACGCTTGACTTTTCTCAGTTCATGGGCAGTTATTTTGCGCCTTGGTTTTTCCACACGCTTCTTGCGACCCTGTTGACTATTTTGAATGAAACGCTTGATTGTTCGATGATCACGCTTCAGAAGCTTTGCAATTTTAAGAGTGCTGCATCCCTCTGCAAGATATCTCACTATTTTTGACTTTTCTGAGCCTGTCAAGTCCTTCTTTTGACCCATTTTGCCAAAGGAAAGGAAGTTGCCTAATAATTATGCACACCTGATATAGGGTGTTGATGTCATTAGACCACACCCCTTCTCATTACAGAGATGCACATCACCTAATATGCTTAATTGGTAGTAGGCTTTCGAGCCTATACAGCTTGGAG